AGCTGATCTCTCCCTACAGAACTGAGCTGCTAAATGCAGAGCCAGCCCTGGGAGACGCCTTCCATCAGCTGCAATTGTGCTGCTTGTAGCAGACCATTAACAGACCTCACCCACCCTCCATGTGGCTGGTTTTGTGATGTCTCATTAACCCCCCCTGTTTCTCAGCCTGTCTCATCCAGTCCTTGGGATCAGCTCTTACCTGAATAAGGGACAACTGCCTTTGAGGTGAGGAGGAAGATGTTGTACGAAGACCTTGAAAACAAACTTGCCTGTCAGGCACATCGGCCCTGCAGAACATATTTTTCGGCTTTGAGGGTGGCCTGCTTAGCCAAGCCTGACTATTTCACTGTGCTGCAGAGGCTGCCCTGGTATTAATTCACCTCAAAGAGCAGGTTGAAGTCGTTAAAATATTTTGCAGGTGGTTCCTTGAATTCATGGTGCAGCTGGATCCAGCCTAAAGGAGGGGAAAAAAAAGGAAAGGAGGAGAAGAGGCAAGCTCTGATGAAACACAAATTAACATAACTCATAGAAGGGAAAGAAAATCTGTTTTCAATCTCTACAACAAAGCCAAGCAACACATCAAGCTAGAAAGGAGAAATGTCAGCCAGGCAGTGCTGGGGGTTTTATTGCTTTAGCACAAGTGCTTCTCCACAGTCCCAGAAGTGCCCAGGTGCTACTGCAGCAGCCAGACCCCCCGAGCACAGGTCTGGCTATGCAGGGATGTGGGGAGCTTCACAACAAGGCCTCTGCTTCCATATGGGTCCAGACTCAAGGTTTGCTTTAATGCCCTGGCATTAGAACTCGTGTGTTGGCCTCAGTCTCTCTTCTGCACAGAAAATCTCCATTTAATGCACCATTTCTTGCCCTTAGAGCTGGATACACTTTTTTTTCAGGACATGTTGACCAGGGCTGAGCTGGACAACTCACAAGGGAGATCCCAGATGTGGTACCTCCATGATCTACTGGTGGGCAGATCACCCACAACCTGCCCTGGCATTCCCTGGATTCAGCAGTGCCTCCTGATGCCCACGGGCATCAAAGTCCTCGCTCCTTCCTTGGGGAGAACAAGGCATTTTAGGATAAACACTGTCACAGTGACTCTGCTGGTCTGACAGGGATGGAAGTATCATTCCCCACAGCAGCCCAGCACAGTCTGGTGCTGTGCCTCGGGTCTGGGGCTAAGCCAGTGTTGCTCACACGGATGTTTTGGCTGTTGGTGGGCAGAGCTTGTACAAAACTGAGCCTGGGAGCAGGCTGGGGTTGGGCAAGAGATTGGGAAAGGACACAGCCAGGGTTGTGACTCACACCGACCCCAGGGATGTTCTGGGCTGTATGATGTCAAACTCAGAGATTAGAAGTTCAGGGAAGGAAGGAGGAAGGGGAGATGTTTGTGGTTTGTGTATTTGTCAGCCCAAAAAGCATCATGCATGCTGAGGGCCCGATTCCCAAAAGCACTTGCCGATCTGCCTGCTCATGGGAAGCAGAGAATGAGTTCCTCTTTCTGCTTTGCTTGCAAGTGCATCTTTTGCTTTCCCTGCTAAACTGTCATTATATCAACTCACAAGTCCTCTCACCTTCCATTTGCACCCCATCCTTTGCAAAAGAGGGCTGAGACAACGTTTGGGTGGCTGTTTGGCTGATGGCTGGAGTAAATCCACCACAAGAACTGGTATGTCAAAATTCATCAAACTTGTTCATTGCAAAAAGAAAAAAGACTGAAAAATCAGGTAAAATAGGGGGGAAAAAAGAACCAAGCTAGCAAGGTTGTGACAAGGCAGTTGTACAGCTCTGGTCATTGCTGGCTTTGTGGTGGACATGCATGGGATGTGTCACAGGTCAAACCACAACTACTTGCTTTTTTTCTGTGGGAGAGCAGTGTGGTCTGTGGCAGGATTACTTTGTGATGTTTTGAAGCTCATCTGCAGAAACATGGGTGCAGGTATTAGGATAAGGGGTAGACTGTCACCTTTCCTGGCTGCAACCCTCACTTCAGTCTAGAGGCAACAGCAGAAATGGTGAAGGTTCCTACACCAGCCTACCCAATGTTGGGCCTGTTTATCCCATCCACTTCCTTGGAGAGGAATGAGAGCCTCCTGAATGCTGCACATTTATGCCTCAGACAGTCTGAAATCAAATAGATGAGTTTGGAAAAATTACCATCTTGTGGGTAAATGGAGAAACACCTCTGAGCTAGGATATCTTCTCACGTGGGGAAAAAAAAAAAAAAGTCTTTAAAGAAGCACAACTTCAGTTCTTTCAGGATAAATGGCTATCCTGAGGAGGCTGATGTCTGCCCAAGCTCCGTGGCAGAATCACTGCTGGGAGGCTGTTGATGGGTTTAGCTATTGCCAGGCTGGAGTTTAGTGTTGCACCCCTTTGCTTTGCCATGAGCTCCTGGGGGTGGCAAATGCCTGCAGAGGACAAGAGTGATGGAAGATGAGAAAGGTAGTGGGCATGGCCAGGGACTTTTTTGTTCCACCAGCCACTTCCAGGCCACTTCCTTTTCCCAGCACCAGCAGTTCCCCCAGGCCCGTGACTTTGAGGCAGCTGTGGTCAGTTTATAAAACTCAGTTCACATGTTGGTGCACACTTAGAGTGAGAACATGAGGAGCATCATCTGCATGAATGTAGGAAGGAAAGGGGTGAGCTGGAGGACTCCAAGCCCTTCCTTGAGTGTCAGGGGAGGCAGGATGAGCAGCAGGAGGAGAGGGACCAGGGCTTTTCTTACCCCTGAAGGGTAAGGCTGATGGCCCAGCATACGTGTCCCATAATGTCCCATAATCTGTTATTCTATAAATAACCCCATTGCTTCAGCAAAACATCAACCTAGGGAGACTGCACTGAATCAGCAGTTCCTTTTCTTTGTTTTTTTCCTGATTGCAAAATCAGAGTCAACCTATTGCTGCAGTCAGTAGTGAGAAATGAAAGAGAGCAGAAAGCAGGACAGGAGCACGCACAAAGGCTGAGCCAGCATGTTGGGACACAGTCTCTGGCACCAGGGTGTGGCCCAGACCCTCGGCACCACGTGCCCTGGGAAATCTGCTGCCTGTTTGCAGAGGCTGACATCCAGATAGAAATGCACCACAACCTCCCAGGCAGCTAAATGCCCAAACGAGCAATGAGAATGTGCCAGCTTGCAGAGCTGCATGAGGCTGCCTCAAATAGGTATGAAGGTTTGACCAGCGGGGTAGGCAACTGCAGCTCATGGCTTTCCCCCCAGAAGTGGAGGATTGGGCTTCAAAACCCAAAACACTGCAGTTCAGGGCTGCCAAATTAATGGAATCCACCCCTGTTTTTACACCCATGCCAACTGGGCCACTGAGAGTGGCCACAGCATGACCAGGTTGAATCAGGTGAAAACTTATCCCTGAGCTTCTTTCTCAGGGAAGGAGGGCACAAAGATCTCATTGCACCTTTTGTCTCTAGGCAGGCTTTTGAGAGCTACATCTGCCAGCTCATTTTTAATACTTTGAAATAAAATGGATTCAACTAAAAGTATTATTAAAAGCCTCTCTGCTGTAAATCTGCTCTCTGCATGCACCTGAATCACATCCATCCCTATAAACATCCACTTGGCAGCACAAGCACAGTCATTCCCAGCTCATCACCCAGCAAGAGTAGACGGCTCCAGCCTTCTGCAGAGTGGTCAGGTGAACCACCAGAACCATCAGAAATGGGCTGGATATGAGCCCTTACTCCCGTGAGGAGGTGATGCCATGATGGGAGAGGATGCACTGTCATTTACTGTGGCTCAGCAGATTGGTGGTAACCTCTAGAGCCCCTCTAATTCAAGGGGATATCTGACACCTTCACAAGGAAGCAAATTATCCCAATTCCTACACAGAGTGTAGCAGAATGTTTAAAAATGGAGGATGCCTCTTCCTCCTTCCTGGGGACAAACCGGGTCACAGCTGCACAAGCACATTTGAAAGGAGAACACAGAAGCAGATTCAAAAATCCCCACGTATCTGTGGTTTAAGGCTTTCAGAGATTTGTACTTCAGGTGCAGAAGAGAGGGCTTCACTCTGCCCTGCCAGGGTGTGGATCTCCAGCTCGCCCCTACCTGGAGCTTTGCCACACTTGGCTGCATGGCCAAGCGAAGCAGTGAGGACGCAGCAGCCCCAGGGACAGACAGCGACCTGCAGCGGTGTGACAGCGACTGCCTTGCGCCTCGGAGAGGGCAGGACGTGGTGGTGGCAGCGTGGATGAGGAGGGCTTTGCCCAGCTCCTACCGACAGCTCCTGCCTGTGGGCCTGGGTGAGTCACTTTGCCTTGCAAAAGCCAAACCCAGCGCAAATGGAGATGTCAGAATGCCACGTTCCAGGGGGGATTTCAGGATGAAGGCAATGAAATGGTGAAGAGGTAGGAATTGTGTCTGTGGGTGTGAAAAACTCATCAGAGAGGAAGCAGAAGCTGGAGAGACCTTATCAAAGAGGCTGCAAGTGCCTCTTCCCCACATCATCCCAAACCTTTTGGGTTTCAGCATCCCCCATCCCGCCATCATTCGCTTGTCTTTACAACCCTCCTGATCCTTTCCTTCCTTGCACTTGAGTCATGCCCAGCCACTGAGGTGTCACCTTGGTGCACATACTGTGTGTTTCACTGTGACAAAGCCCTCAGCCTCCCCTCCCAGGAGAGTGATTGCCAAGCTAACATTGAACACGGAATCTTCTTTGCTACCTGAGGAGGTTTACTTTTGTTAGAAACAAAATGTCCATCTCTAACTCCGCCACAATGCAGAGATGCTGAATAACTCCAGGCTGAAGATCTTTCAGGATCCTGCCCAAGGCTCCAACTGAGCACGTGGGAGCAGCTCAGTGTCTTAGCTGTGGGGTATTTTGAGGAACTGTTCAAATTACCACATCAGAGTTCTCAGCAGTATATAAAAGCTGAGCAGATAGGAAATGCATATCAGAAAGCATATTAAATCAGGAGGCAGAGAGGAAGTACCTCCAGTTCTTAATTGTCCAAGGCTTTAGGATAGCCACAAGAAATTTGTCATGAAAATTACAGATAAATACGGGGAAGAAGGAAATTCAAGTGATATGAACTCTTTCAGTTTTTCAGAAAAGATTGGGTTTGCCTCACCTGCTACCACAACCTTTCAGATAAGTGGTAAGATTTCTTTTTGTTCAATGGATTTATATGGATTTTATCTGGTCTAAAACAACACAGAAAATTGAAATATTGCATATTAAATGCTTTTTGCAGTGATTTTGTTAGTAAATTAACTGCTTTTTAAAAGTAGAAGTATGTCAACCTACCCTTTCCAGCCAAAAGCTGATGCTGAGCATCAGAAAAAAATTAGTTATTTTCCTGTCTTAGAAAATGTCTAATTTTCTTGAGTAAGACTTTCATGTGTAATAGTTAAGATACTAAAATCACCAGACTCAATAAAAAAATGTAAGTTTATGAATTTTTAGCTAAATATAAAAGCTTCATTGCTGACTAAGCCATTCTATTGTAAAACCAATTAAAATACTTTACTCTTTTAGAACTAAGACTTTAAACTCCTGATTACATTACTTTGAAAAAAAAAAGAAAAACCTCAATTGAGGGTAACTTACTGAATGTCTGACGTAGTTACCAATGCTTCTGAAATACTTTTTTTCTCCCTGAAGGCCAAAATTCAACAAAGCCATTTATTTATTTTACACTTGCTGGTAATGATTGATTTTACATCTTATGACTTGTTTCAATTTGTTCTGCAGTTCAGTTTATTATTGATTTTTCATTTGTTTTGATGTATACATGCATCACTTTTGGAATCACACACAAGCAGTGCTCTGGATGGAGAAGGAATTGCTTTGAGCAACCCTCTGAATGGCAGCCTGGGACAGCTAAAAACGATGGAAACGGGGAGTTTATTGATGCAGAAAGGGGGAAAGCACCACACTGACACTGATATTGGCTGGGTTAAGTCTTGCTGTAACTGAGCTGGTTAAATTAGCAAAGGAAAAGATGGCTGAGGAGATTGCAGTGCAAAGCCTGGAGGAGAGGCAGGCTTTGCTCTCACAGAGGGACCTTGCACACCACTGGAAAGCTCTGTGGCCAAGCCTGGAGAGGCAGGAAGCAAGCAGAGATTGTAGGGGAGAGATGTGGGAGAGCGTCTACCCTTCTTCTCTTGGTTCTTAGAGCCTCGGAGCCAGAAAAAGGCGTCCACATGCTGCACTCGGGCAGCGCTCAGCATCTACCTGCTGCTGCTGACGGCCGGCCAGGGGCTGCTGATGTACAAAGGTAACGCTGCAGCCCGGCCTGCTTGGCATCAAACGGGCTTGGCATCAAAAGAGAGCTCTGCTGGGTGCTCCTGGGGGCACGGGCAAGCGGGAATGAGCACACAGACCTGAAACCTCCCAGGGGCTCCTCCGCACACCGCCGGGCAAAGCAGCGGCTGCAGGAGCAATTCCCCCGCCCTGCGTGTGTGCTTTGCATTTGCAAAAGCGCTCCCAGCTGCACTCCTGGCTGCAGCGAGGACTGGCACATGAAAACCACCTCCCCGGGTCAAACAGGGGTGGTCTTTATCCCCCGGTGTCCCCCCCAGGTGCTGAGGAACTGCTCTGCCAAGAAACCATTTCCCAGCCGGATCGGGCAGCGAATATTCATTGCATGGGCTTTTTGTTTCCTCAGTATTTAAGATGCAGAGAGAGATATTGAAACTTCAAGAGCAAAATGCCTCCTATACAGAAGAGATTCTGCAGAGCTACTCTGCCAACAAGCTGGCCTTGTCGAGAAGCTCTACTTGGAAGGACTTTCTCATGACACAAGAAGAAAACTGGAGGAGAAGCTTAGAGGAAGAAATCACCATAATTAAAAGCAACAATGCAAACCTGATGATGAGGATGAACAACATCACCGTGGTTGCAGGTATGGCTCTCCATGCTGGCTCTGCAGTGGGGAGACCTGGCTCCTCTGCATCACTAGCAGGGCAGAAAACCCAGTTTAGATGATCCAATAACTAGGGCAAGATTTAATCTTCCTACCAGTTAGTTACGCCCCCATGCCAAGGATTGGAGTCAACTCCAGACCAGGGAGCACCTGTAGGAGCTGGAACACTGCCCTGTGCAAACCCCCAGATCCCCTTGCAGCTGCACGTGCAGCTCTGGGCTCCTCTTCCCTCCTGTGACTTGTAGATTTGGACTCTAGGTGCCCTCCAAAAGGGTTGTGTCTCCAGCCCACACCCCAATCCCATACTGCTGTGTTCCTCACCGACTGCTGACTACTAAAAAATACCCATTAAATATTTATTTCAGGGCCTCCTGGACGCAAAGGAGATCCTGGTCTACCAGGTATGTTGGTAAATGAGCCACAGCTTCTCATCTTTTCCTCTTCTGCTTTATTTCATCTAACAGACCTTAAGTGAGGATTTGGGATTTCAGTCTCCAGACCCAGACCCAGTGTGCAGATACCCAATGCCCTGGTCATGAGGAGACCTTCAGCAAAAAGCAGGTGCAAAGCCCATGAGGCTTTTCACTGATCCTCCAGGAGCCTTGGCTAGCCCAGGTGCTCCCACAGAGGTCGGTGCCCACCCTGACCCTTGGAAAACATTGGCACAGACTCAGGAATGAGCTGGGTGCAAGTTCTGCCCCCCACAGCCATGCACAAGCTGCTGCCCTGGGTACCTGAGGCTTTGGGTAGAACTGCCCCTGCCACAGGAGGTCAATATCTCCAGACTGTGAGGACAAAGCAGGTCCTGATCTAATGCTGGCTCCACTTTGAGCAGAGGCTGGACCAGGCAACACTTTCTGTGATCCTCTGATGATGATCTAAGATGCAACCCTTGTTAGATCAGGTCTGTAACTCATCCATCCCTACTTCTTGGCTATACGGATGAGATTTTCTGAAGGAAAAAAAATTAAAAATTGTGTTTTCATATGTTCCTGGCTGCACTTAGGACGTTGAAACAGCACCTCCTGCCAAGCAGTGTTATTACACATCAGAGCCCAATTGTTCAGTGCATTTTCATGAAAGATCTCCCCAATGGTCCCCATGAGCTGGGCTTGGCAGAAAGACAAGCTGGCCCCTGCCCAGCTGAGCACTCAGCTGAGCTCCAAGGACTTTACTCAAGTGGTTGTTCTGGTCCCTGCCAGCTGAAGATTGGCCTCACTGGTGACTGAAATTGTGTGAGCAAAGGATGATTTAAAAATTCATCTCTTCTTCTTAGCCATTACTGTGAATAGATGATGTGTGTCAGCTGATATATGTATTTTACATCCCAGGGTTACGAGGACCACCAGGGACAAAGGGAGACCAAGGTAAGGCTTTTTTGACACCTGAATTACTTCTGTGGGTGAACATAAAGAGGCTTTATGGATGATTTTATGAGCAATCTTGTTCTCAGCCAAGGTGTGAGTAAGGATGTCATTGGATCTGAAGGAAATAAGCCTATGTAAAGCTAATGTGAGCAAAAGCAAAACTTAACTGGAAAAAAAATCTTATTTTAAAAGTCAGTGTGCAACAGTCACAGTGGGCCTATTTCCCACTGTCACCAGGACCATTTTCAAGTGCACAGAGAGTGGAGTTTGGCTCATGCTCACAGCTGTGGTGGGTGTCCTGCTGCTGGCACTGACTACACATGGCACCCCAGGAAGCATCAGAAAAATGGTGTTGTCCTTGCAGGAGTACATGGACCCCCGGGGGAGAAGGGGAGCAAAGGAGCTCCTGGTCCTGCTGGCCCAAGTGGTGGTCCAGGAGTGAAAGGACAAAAAGGAGAGCTAGGGCTTGCAGGTAAGCCTTCTTCGCTATCTTAACACTTTTAATGTTCTCACATATATTTCTTTTTAAACCCATTCTACATAAAACACCAGAAGAAGTTTTCATAGGTCAGTATTCATAAAAATCCAGGCAGCCTTGAGTGTGGTTTTCCAGTCAGTGAGGGAGCTGGATATACAGGACACTTGACCTGATCTGAAGGGGTTTAATTTCATGTCATACTTCAGCAAATCTCCCAAAGGAAGGCTGGGGGAAGGGGCCATGCAAAATGTTGATTCTGCACCATGGAAGTCTCTTTACAGAGTGACCTTTGTCTAATAAAAACCACAGATATTCAATTATCAGCCCATCCTAGATTAAAGCAGTGATGTTTGCAGTAGGATTTCTATGGTATAAAATAATACAATATAATTAATATGCACAAGCATGTGGATGTTAATCCTCATTTTAGTGGAACCTCTTTCTGAGAGCTTTATGAGCATCTTACATAAGCCTGGCTTTGTACACCTGAAGGAGAAGGTGTTATGCAATGTGTTTCTCCCATGTAGCATGCATTATGGATAGCTGCTATGAAAGCAGGAGAGGAAAAGAAAGCAGGTGATGTGTGTGGTGCAGAGCAGGGAGGAGAGTTGAACAGGTTGTTAAGAGCTTCCTCAGGTCTTCCGTCAGATTCTGAATGCCCCAATGCTCTCATTAGAACAAGATGCTCCAGAAGAGAAGAGTGATTGTAGGAGGAATACCAAAAGGCAAGGACTTGGGGATAATTCTAGAGCAGAAAGACGAAGGAGAAGTCTTCAAATGAGGCATTTTCAAGTAATTCAGCTCTTTTGGAGCATGGTGATCACCTGTTCACAGAAGACAAGGTTAAGGGGAGATGGCAGAACTCTCTGGAAGAACAGGAGTGGAATGTGCTGCCCTGTATCTCCACTGTGTCTGGCAGAAGGGAAGCATTCAGACTTCAGTAAGGGATATTTAACTAGAGGAGAAAACATTCCAGTAGGAGGGATAGTTTGGGGAATAGATTGGAGAGTTGTCATGGCACCACTGCAAGCCTTTAAAGCAGGCCAGACAAACATCTGGCCAGGGAGGCTGACAGAGCCAGATGTGGATCAGACAGGCCAGCTCTGTCCTCCTTTATGGTGACAATGTCACCCAATGGCAAATTAATGCAGGTGTGAAGCCAAACCTTGCTGCTGGTGTGGCCAGACAGAGGCACTCCTCAGGCTGCAGAGACAACAAATCTGTTTGTTTTTGTTTGTTTTTTTTTTCAATTTACATGTGTGTGCTGTGCTGTTTGATAGGTTCCCAAGGACAGAAAGGTGACATGGGCGAGAAGGGAGACGCCGGGCTCCCGGGACCCACAGGTCCTAAGGGAGAGCAGGGATTCCCAGGAGTGCCAGGTTTCCAGGGTAAGTGCAGAGGACACGGTGGGACAGGGTGCAGGGCTGCCCCACAGAGGGGCTGGGCTGAGCCTGCTCTGCACTGATGCCAGGGTGTTGTTACAGGGAGCCCGGGGAAGCCTGGACCTCCTGGGCCGAAAGGAGAGGCAGGTAAGCTCTACAGAAGGTGCAATTTCTTGTAGAGGCATAAGAGATCATAAGAGATCATAACACCGATCTCTTTAATGTGGTGTTTCGTGACAAGGAGAGCTGCAGCCGGTCTAGATCCCAGCATGGGTAAGAGAAGATGATGATTAGATGAAGAAACCATGCCAACATTTCAATGTCATCCAAACTCGTCCCAGCCTTGGCTGTCTCTTGTGGGCCCCACTCACTGTGCAGGAGACTGGGAGGGAAAGAAGGGCCATGGCCTCCTGCCTGGCACCTGTGCACACACAAGGGCAGAAATTGGCTGCTCTTTTGGGAAGAACTTGTGCATTTCAAGGCTGGCAGTCAGCCAGGACCCGGTTCCATGCAGCCTTTCACTCCAGATCATCCCTGACTGCATTGCTATGATTAGCACTGCCAGGATTGCAATTTGGAGACAGCCAGCGTTTGTTTTGCCTTCATAGGCTCAGCTCAGCGTGCAAGGGCTGGTGATTGAGCTGTCTGTCTTTTTATTTCCTTCATGAGTTGTTTGGCATTTCATATTGTGCTGCTTTCACTCAACCTCAAGGTGCAACTGGACAGCTTGGACCTCCTGGAAGTCCTGGCCCTGAAGGCAGACCTGGTCAGAAAGGGGAGAAGGGGGACCAGGGCCCCAAAGGTAGCCCAGGTACAGCCCTGCTCAAACCTATAATTCACTGACCTCCTACTCTGGCCTCACTTTGTGTGATGGGTTCACCCTTACTGATTTCTTTTTGATTTTAGGAGCACAAGGCATTGTTGGACTCAAAGGTGTACAGGGAGAACAAGGAATTGCAGGTAAAGGAGAATAAAACAGGTTTTGGGTCAACAACACACCTCATGCAAACACTAGAAAGGGAGCTACACCACCAAGAAGAGACCTCCTGAGTCTTCTTCTTGGACCCCCAATGCATCCCAGGATGCCATGGCACTCCTGGGGCTCTGCCAGGCTGCTGTGGGCTGGCTGCTCACCAGAGCAGCCAGAGCTGTTTCTGCCATCTGTAATAGTGTGAGGGGTGATGGTGACTGAATTTTGGTATAAATTGAAAATGCACAAACAAAGAAGCAGTTTAAGATGAACTTCAGGAGAAGATGTTTCTCCACTGCCTGTATTTTGTTGTTTGACATTGTCTGCACTGATTATGATGTGAAATAAGACACCTGATTCAGAAATAGATGCTTACAGTGTAGACACCAAAATTAGATGAGTTAAAATCAATTGTAAATACTGCTTTGCATAAGCTTTTATAAATGTATAAACATCAGTCTCATAAATGTTTGTTTGTTGGTTTTTTATGATCTTAGGACCTCCAGGGCAAAAGGGAGCAAAGGGAGACCAGGGCCCAACAGGTAAACTCTTATAGCATTATTTATTCTGATACAAAGATGATGACACAAAGAACTTTAGGTGCCACATTCCAGTGTTCTGCTTCAATGTGAAATGTTTGTCACGTCCTTTCCCTAGGAAGGGACAAAGGCAATGACATTTTGCTTTCCACCCAGGCACCCCAGGCGCAGCTGGTCAAAAAGGAGCCAAGGGAGATTATGGCACTAAGGGTCTGAAAGGAGAACCAGGACTAAAAGGAGCCAAAGGAGAGACTGGATTTTCTGGTAAGGCTCTTTGCCACAGGGTCTGTGGAGCTGATGGCACATTTGGGTTGGGGACTGTAGATCAGCCTTCCTAACAAAGAAAGGAATGTGCAGGGTGCCAATTGTACACCCTGGGAGGTGTGTTAAAAGACATGCGAGTACACAGATTTTCTCAAATCCCCAATTTCACAGAAAACTGGAACAACCCACGTTCCTCTTTACTTTGTTCAGAGACATCAGAGACACCCTGTGCCTGGGATAAATCCCATGTAAACATGGCATCAGGAACATGCAATAGCAAAGCTATTGGACACACCTAACAGCCAGGCCATTTAACTACACCTTGCTAACTGTAGGGCACAAAAGTTGTTCAAAAGGGCCAACTCAACAGCTACTCTCCATCCTTAATCCCCCCCCTTCCAATCACAGGATGTTTCAAAAAAACATAAGACCTGTAGTAAGAAAAGAAAAAAACAAGCAGTTGTTACAACAGCCCATGGGAAGTGCTCCAGATGCTTTTTTCTTTTAATTGTTCACTCAGAATAGTACAAGAATCCTCAGAAATAAAATAAACTAGATTCTCTGTGGGGCTTCTCCATGCACTCCTCCTCTGGAGCTTTGCATTTGGAGGATGGAAGAAGTGTAACTGGGCTGGCTCCATGCTCTGGGTGCATGTCATCTCCTGGTCCCTGGAAGGAGACAGCAAAGAGTGCTTTCCGGAGGTAGCTTTGGGGGAAAGAGCTCCGTGGGTTTTTTCAAACACCCCTACCCTCAAGACCAAGATGGTCCACAGAAGTGTGGAGGACTGCTGAGAGCACCTTTCTGCTCTCCATGGAGATAAATCCCAGGATGTAGGTCTTCCTGCAAGTGCTTTGGGAGATACCATGCCTGCTTCTGGAGATCCCGAAGTCTATCAGAGATGTCATTTTACAGGTAACAGTGGGAATGAGAAACACTTCCCACAAGTGAATGAATATATGGCATTTTGAAAGTGGCCCTTTTCTTGGGTCACACATTGGAAATACTTTGCTGTATGTTATCCTACTTTTCCTGCCATGTTTCTTTTACATACCCTTGGTCACTTCAGGGTGTTCCTTTTCTACATGGGGAGGAGTCTGGACATCTCTAACTCACACAAGTATTCAGAACTAGATAATAACCAGATTTTTCCACAAGCAACTGTCAAATGTTTGCTTTTCTAATTGAAACAGGTTCCCCAGGAGTGAAAGGGAGCAAAGGTGAAAAAGGAGAAGGTACTGGATTTTTCTTCTTCTTTCTCTTGCCTTCTGATGTCAGAGCTACCTGAGATCAGGACCAAAATACCCCCCTGCTCATGCTGGTTAACCCACAGCACAGCTAACAGAGCCAAGGAGCCTGTGCTCTGAGCTGCAGCCTGGTGTCTCCAAATGCAGGGGGCTCTTGAATTGTTTGGATTTGAGCTACCAGTAACCTCCGGTCCCAACCTGGAGATGGGAATGTCCCTCTGGTTCGGTGGTCACTCTTTCTGTCTGTCAGTGCCTTTTTCCTTATGCCTGCATGACCCATAGAGTTATTTTCTCCTCTGAATTCTCAGCGGGCTCTGGTAACTATGTACGAATCGTGGGAGGAAACAGGAGGGGCCGTGTGGAAATCTTCTACAGAGGGTCCTGGGGAACAATCTGTGACGATGGCTGGTCCAGCCGAGAGGCCGGCGTCGTCTGCCGAATGCTGGGCTTCAGCCGAGCCGTCACCTTCTTCACAGCCTCACCAGGTGAGTCCTCGACAGCTCACACCCCTCCAGGCCTGGCACGGGTGGTTACACACACAAAAAGCACCACAGCAAGGCCACCTACCTACCCCAGCAGCCAGTGATCTCGTTCCTCTTGGGATGAGGCAGCTGCATGTCAAGTGCTGCTTGAACTGTGCCCAAATGCTTGATTTCCAACAAGCCAACCACACAACCCACTGTCCACAGGGTTCTCTTAAGGAAAAAAGTCATATTCCTCTTTCTGCCATCCTATCCAACAGTTTTTTGTTTGTTTGTTTGTTTAATCTTCCAAAGGTACTGGACAAATTTGGCTTGATGACGTAAGTTGCACAGGGAGTGAACTTTCAATTACGGACTGTAACAAGCGCGGCTGGGGTGACCACAACTGCAGCCACAGCGAGGATGTTGGGGTGGAGTGTGCTTGATGGGACACTGAGTCTGTCCTGAGAGATGCTGCTGCCTCTGCCCTCCATGGAGCTCTTCTTCATGATGCAAACCCAATTTCATCAGGCTGTGCTTCTCTGCCTCTTTGCCAGGTCATAGAAATATTGACAAAGAAAGCTGAATTTTTCACAAATCAATAACAGTTGCAAGACCCACAGGTAACCCGAAACATCCCAGCTGTCACAAAACAATTGGAGCTCAGGCATGTGAGCCAGTTCACAGCTTTTCCAGCTACCTGGCATCAGTTCATCTGCAGGAGGTCACACGTGTGTGACCTCTAAGTCCACAGGGGAGGGGAGGGGCTGGTCCACGTTAGCTTAGAGCAGTAAGAGAATAGGATCAGTGTGCAGAAACCTGCACTTACTGCAGCTGAGCTGGGTAGTCCATCTTCATCATGCTACAGTTGTGAACCTGAGCTTAAAACCCCAGAGAAGTGCATACACCCAAGACAGCAGATGCTCAGAAATCATCAGATGATCTCTCTGGCGTGCAAATAGAAATATTGTTCAGAAACTATGCTGGTCACACATTAAAGTGCAAAAAATAAGTGCCTGGGATCCAGGTGCCATACTACCCTGGTTTAGCACAGCACTTGTTTTTGACCTTAGCTAAGTCCCTTGCCTTCTCTGTCAGCATTTCCTAAGCTATCTCCGGTAGCGATACCCCTTACTTACCTGATGTATAAAGCCAAGCTTTTCATTGCTTTAGAAATTAGATGCTCCAGTAAAGAAAAACGCTGACAAATAAAAAATACAGCAAAGCATGGATAAGCTATCAATTGGTGTTAAATAGAAATAAATAAATAAATAGATATATAAATAGATAAACGCTCGAAGAGATAAAGAAATAAAATGATACACACACACCTGTAGATATTAGGGAGAAAATATTGAACTGGGCTTTCCTGGATCCCATGCGATTGATGCAATTTACGTTGGATAAGTAAAGGTCTCCCTGCAGGGAGAATGGCCGGACCCGTCCCGGCGGGATGCGGCGGGACCTGCGGGCTGAGCCGCCGGGACCCATCGGCTCCTCCCGGCACCGCGCCCGTCCCCGCCGCGGAGCCGGGCTCTCCAATGCTCCTTGCCGGCACTAAGGGGAGCCCAAGGGCCGCCGCCGCTCCGCCAAGAGGCTGCGGGAGCCCCGCGGCATCGGCCCCCAGGCTGCCCATGCCCCTGCCCCTGCCCCTGCCCCTGTCCCTGCCCCTGTCCCTGCCCCTGCCCCTGTCCCTGCCCCTGTCCCTGTCCCGCGTCCCCGCTGCCTTCTCCCGCGGGGAACCGGGGATCCGGGCATCCCGCTCTGCTCCGCTCCCCTGAGACCCCGCGTGGAGCAGCTCAGAGCCCGGCACAGGAGCGGTATCGAGGAGCCTGCAGGAGCGAGGCCAGCGGGGGCTGCGAAGGTGCTCAGGGGGCTGGAGCACCTCTCCTAGCAAGACAGGCTGAGAGAGCCGCGGCTGCTCAGTCTGGAGAAGAGAGAGCTCTCAGAGCACCTTCCAAATACCTGTAGGAGAGCTGGAGAGGGATTTTTGTCAAGGGTATGTAGTGATAGGGCAAGGGGGAATAGCCTTAATCTACACCTAATCTCTTTTAGTTTAACTGTCAGGGAAAAATTCTTTACTGTGAGGGTAGTGAGCCACTGGCACAGGCTGCCCACAACAGCCGTGGATGCCCCATTCCTGAAGGTGCTCAAGGCCATATTCGATGGGCTTTGAACATCCTGGTCTAGTAAAAGATGTACCTGCCCAGGGATTTGAAATTAGATTACCTTTAAGGTCTTTTCCAACTCAAATCATTCCATGATTCTATGATCCCAGGAGTGGGATGGCAGTGGTGGCCACAAAGGCCTGGAGATGCAACCAGAGGATGCTTGTGATGACCCACCTCTGTCACAGGAAAGGACTAAAATGTGTTTTATCCTGTGGAAAAGCTGACAGCACACACACTGAGGCAAAAACCTGAGTGGGGTGCTTGGTTTGAGGGAACAAGGCAGGCTGTGGTGGTTTCAGTCCTTGGTAAATGCAGCAGGGGTCAACCAGTCATCCAAGAAAGGGATTTTGCAAAATAAGAGCAGATGGTTTTAGGTCTCTGTGGTGCAGCCCATTGTACCTGATGGTTTGTGAGAGGCTGCTGGGCAGCTGTGACACTTGTACAGGTCTTGCTCCCCACTCTTTAATCGTTAGAAACACAATTTTTAAGGCAAACCCTCAGATTTTGCCATCATGGCAGAGGTGTCCCCTTGGAGGGACAGAGGAGGGACAGCTGCACAGCTCATCCCCAGCCTCACCCCTGTGGGGCAGGACACAAGTGCCAGCAGTGGCATTTGGAGCCTGAAGCTCAGCACTGGGATCCCTGTGCAGCAGGTTTGGAGGGCACTCACATGTTCACTTCTCTAAGAGAAGGTCCTCCACTGGGGCAGGAAGAGTGCCACAAGTCACCATGGGATGGTTGGCGAGCAACAAAAAATCCTTTTACATTACAGAAAGGGTGGCCCTGAGATCGCATCTACAGAAAGGGTGGCCACACCCCATCCCTCCCAAATGCCCAGCTCCAGCTGCTCCAGCCCAGCTTCAAAGCCTCCCAGCCCTCCTGCACTGCCCTGAAAGAGCTGCCTGTGACAGCTAACAAGGAGTGGTACAGCTTTGCTTATCATTCATGCCCAGCACCAATTAAAAGGCTTAGTTAAGCAAAATGCAATTACACTGTCATGGATAAAAGGGATACAATTAATTAAAATGGAACACTTTCCCTTAGGAATGATGTTATTTCCAGATGCTCCCACCCCTGTCCCTGACTGTTCCTCGTGATCTGAAGATGCTTGGGATGAATTGGGGTCTTTTGGGTGGTTTTGTCCCATCTTGCTGGCTCACATGTATTTATGCGGTAAGTTAGCAAAGACACTTGAGGACACAAATCCAGCTAAAACCCAGTTCTCCAAGGTTCCAAAGCCTGAAGTTTATGCTGAATGCATCATAACACACCTCCTTAGAAAAATTATTGATGATTCCTGCTGCAAAGGTAAAAAAGGCAATTAATGAGTTTAAGACATTGTATTAAAATATGCAATAAAGTAATTTTCTGCATTACATTCATATGACAGACAGGTAACAATTTTAATACACATGCATGCTACATCTAAAGCTTAAACTCATCACATCATATATAGGTCACTAATTGTATTTTCATCCCTCTCTTCTGAAGTCTTCTGATGTTTTAGATCAGATCACCACAAATCTGCCAGCACATTTCCTCATTTTTTCTGTTAAACATCACAGTGGAGGGCAGCATCTGGCCTCAAAACCCTAAGACTTTTTTTCTGTCTCACTTGGTGTCAGAACTGGTCAGGTTTGGCTTGATTAATTCTTCCCACCAGCATGGTCCAGCAAAGGCCCAGCCAAGCACCCAGTGCAGTGCACAAGCCCCAGCTCCAAATGTTTCTCATCCTGCAAAGGAGCCAGTCTGGCTCTCACAGGCACTGGCACCACCATGCACTGATGCAGGCAGCTGCTCTGCTGTGACACCGGGCTGATTTTAACCCAAAGTGCTTAAACAAACTGTTAATGGTAGCTCCAAGTGATTATCCATTTATTTCAGCATTTGTCTTTTTCAAATGTGACCTAAAATCTATAAGTAATTAGTTATTGTACAAGCTACGGTATTGCAAAATGCTTCCCTTCATTTTTTATTCCGACTCTGAACTATAACTCCAAAATCATTCTAGTCACACCAGCCTTCAAAGGTCTAAATGGGGAGGAAGGGGGGCTAACTCCTTAGTATCTTTGAGATTTACAAGAATATTTGAGGATTTTCTGGGGATTCAGTGTGAGATGAAAATAAAAGAGTTTTGCAGGCAAACAGTGAAACTTATGCTTCCAGTTCAAAAGGAAAGACACATTCAGAGAAAGATTTAAATGCTAAAATGCTAAATAAACATTGCTATTCAACAGCAGTCTTTGTCTTTTGAGTCCTAGGTTAAAATTACTTCACAGGGACTATAAACACTCTTTTTTACTCTCCTTTGTTGGAGCTAAATGAATTTTAACTGCAGAAGTTCCAGGGTGAAGAAGAATTGCCTCCTAAAACTCCTCCCAAATCACCTAAGTACCCCAGCAGAGGACGGCAGGAGAGGACTTTGGGAGCTGTTAAATGAGGTGAATAAGAAAATAGTATATAAATTGCATTTATTCTAGGTCTGCTTGTGATGTTTCGTATAAATGCTAACAAATAAGTGGCACTGTGAAGGTGCTGGTTCCACACCATCAGGGCATCAGCAGCAAAAGGAAGCACAATTCTGCAATGACCTTGCCTTAGGAAATCCCAGTGGAGTCAAAGGATTCAGAGGGCTTTCAGGCTCAGGCCATAAATCACCCAAGATATGAACTACTGCCTTATTAGAGCAGATTCATAACTGTAATTCCAGATAAATACACAATTAGTCTGATCTCCTCTGATAATACGCCAACAGGAAAAAAAAATAAGTCACCTCCTACTAAGCAGAGTAACAAAGGAGCTGCAGCAAACTTTCACAGATGTTGAGGCCAGCAGGATCACTGCAATAATCCCAGCTGATCTTCTGCATGGTGCAGGGCAGAGAAACTCCCCCAGGGATTTCTACACCATTCTGAAAATACAGCTTGCTTTCTAGGAAGGTGCCTTACCTTGGTTGAAAGTTTTCTGAAAGCAGAGAAAGCATTGTATCCCTTTAAAAAGCACCACATTCTTGCCTTATTAATCAATGTAATTAACGTGTCAGCTCTCTCCCAGTGACTCCACTCCGAACCTGTGCTGGGACACCCAGAGCCAGCTGAGGTCCTCGAGCCACCGAGGGCTGCTGCCTGAAGTCTGCTCAGACAAGGCTTAAGAGATAAAATAAGTTTTCCTTAGCACAATTAGCTTCACCTGGCAGGGACAAGCCCACAACCAGGTTTTGGAAGAGCTGCTTACTGTTCCAAGCAAGCAGCACACCTCTAAAGGGATGCTGATGCCCTTGCCAGAGTTTAGAGAAATGATGAATGTGCAGCACATGCCAAGATCAAACCAGAGGTGACCTTGATAGTTTTACTTCTGCTCAGCATCTGAAAGGGTATTTCTGGAAGGCTTTTGCCATAACTGTGGCTCACAGGAACACTGAGACTCTGCTTTTGCTCTGATTTTAAAGGAGATGTTTGACTTTACAGAGTAGTGATAGAAGGAGCTCGTTGGGAGTAGAAGGCTCTCAGCACACTTCTGAGGCCCTCAAACTGTTTTTCTGGGTGGAAATGAGATCAAACTAAACTGAAGTGGCACTGTTTGCATGAGTAACAACTAATCCAAATTACC